AGTTCCCCTTTTCCTATAAAAAAAAAGGACATTTTGTCCTTTCTTGCAAAATCCAACCGGACAATTTTTCTTACTTCAAGAGAAGGACGTGTCAGGGGAAAAGAGGACGTATGATAACCCTATCCAGAGTCGAGATAGAAATATTATCTGAATTGTTATGAATAAAAAAGAAACAAAAGACGTTATTCTCTCTCATTTTTTGAATCAGAAAGAGAAAAATCAACGATAGGCATTGAGGAAGAAAAACTAAGATACAGGATTTCGAGCATCTTAGATGATCGATTGATTGATTTGAATTTAAGAGGATTCGGAAGTCGAGAGGCCGCCAGATCTATCGGCCAGCCAGATCAATCGGGGAATCTCGGTTTTGGTGAAAATTCTGCGTTTTAACCGCTAGAGTTGTTCACAGACACGGACGAACCTGCGGACAGACGTTTTGCCATCAATCGATTTTTCGGTATCAAGGACCCATAAAACATGGATTCTGACCACACAACGTATTAGAGGAAGAAATGTAGGGACAAGATTTATCCACTTTGTCGTTACCAGGGCCCGGCAATAAGTGTTTTTCTGTCGAAAATCCGTTTTCTGGTGCACGATTACAATACATTTTCTTTTTACAAAGTAAGGGCGAGAAAGTATAAATCTCAAAGGAGTGGCGTGGCGAAAACCTCCGTCGCCGAATCCGCCTCCTCGAATGAGCCAAAGCGGCTGAGGTGGCTCAGGGCATCAGTTGATGTCGCTGCATGTCTCTAGAAGTGAAGAACCGAGAAGTCTGTGCTATGTGTACCACCACTTATTATTTTTTGGCATATGTAGCATAGATAAAGTTAGGTAATGCTACAGAAAATCGATGTCGAGATTTTAAAGGAAATACGTCTTAGGAGTATGTGAAACCAAAAAATCTTGTTTTTATATATCTTTTTACTTTTTTAATTTTTTTTACGTTTGATCCTCCATTCTGTCCGTCCGTTCGTTCGTTCATCTAGTTGCTGACTTAGCGCCTAAATCGTACACAGGATTTATCCAAAATCGATATTATCCAATCGAACTTGGTGAACTCGTGCCCCTACAAATTTGAAACTTTTTTTTTTCAGGCATACTAGTCCTTAGGTCAAAATTTTATTAAAATTGGCTCCAACTTTTTATTTTAATTTTTTGCTGAAATATAGAAAAGCATGCTTAAAAATGACTCAGGACTGATTTCCAATAAAAGCTCTTAAATTTAAAAAGTTACAAAAGTTTAAATTATTTGAACTATTTCTACAACTACCTATGTTATTTTGAATAATGTCTTGACATTTTTTTTCAAAATATGAGTAGTTTTTTTGCATAAGTTTGAGTTAATTCATGACAATTTAAAAATTTCATAAACAAGATATTCTTAAAAACATTTCCTGAGTCTCTACTTTATTTTTTCTCTAATAACAACAAGTTTGCTTAATACTACAGCATTAACTCTTTGAAAGCTCAACCATTGAAAAAAAGAAGAAGTTTTCAATTAATGTATTGTGCAGAGATTAATTTCACTCAAAAAAGCCAAGTAGACATTCAATGCACATTATTTCCCTTGCTTTCAGAATTATGTTTAAGAATGAAATGAACACTGAGTCACTTTGATATGTGCCATTCATAACAATCTTAAGTGCTACCCTGTCCCCCCAACAAAAACATAATATTACCTGAGTACAGTATATTTAACATTTTTAAAGAGAAAAATTTTGTCTCAATGTTCATAGACAATAATTGTTATTACTTTTAAAATTACTTTTTTTATTGTTTATTTACATAAAAAACAGTTAAAAACTGTATATGACGTGGGGGACTATGGGGAGAAGTTAATTTGAAGTTACATTTATGTCCAGAAGCAAAACAAGGGGCCATCTCAGCATTTGCTCGAGGATTAGGGAAACTGGAAGAAAACCTGATCGAGATAGGGATTGAGCTTGAGACTTATTTCAGTTTCTTTGATGGAATTAGAAAAATTCATATATTTATATTATCTTTCATTTATATAATAAAAAAATTGCTTTAGTTAGTTTTGCAGAAATCAAGCACACATCCATGGGTGAGGAAATGAGCAAAACTTCCCCCTTCCCAAATAGTTTTCAGCAACTATTACTTTTAACTTTTCACAAAACTTTCAAGCAAAAATATTTTCACATAATCATTCAATCAAATAAGATCGTATTACAGCATTGACACATTCGACCAGAACATTTTGAATAAAAAAAATTATCTTAATTTGCCAATCACACTCAACTCGCAGTTGGGGATATATATCCCTAAGATGAGGAAATATAATGTCACTCGTGATTTCCTTCTTTTTGTATTCACTAAAATTATGCTCCAAACACTGAAAACCATTACTCATTTGTTTCTCATAGTCAAAAAAACAACTGCGCTTAATAACAGCCAACAACTGCGCTTAATAATACAACATTTGAGATATTAAAAAGCTGAGTTATCACTGCTCCATTGTATCCATTAATATTTTTTAAAATTATGATCATAAATTTTTACTATTTCATAAAACACAAGAAATAGGGTTAATTCCATCTTACATAATCTGGAAAACAAATACATGAATTTGTGCATGGGACAAATTATCTTTCCAGAAAAACCAGAACCATTCAATCGTGCTTTTATAAAAGAAAAATACAGTCTAATAATCCAACAAAGTTGTAAGTAATACCTAATGAAAATCTAAAAATTGTAAAATAAAAAAAAAATATAAAATTTTGGTTTTACATGTATCATTTTATACAGAGTTTGTATTTAAATTAATCATTTGTAATCTCTGGAAAAAATATTTTCTACATTGTAACATTAACATTGTAACATGCCAGGAAAAGTCATTTTTTTAAAAATATACTCCTGTAGAAATAATTGTTAGGAAATATTTAAGAACCATTGGAAAAAGTCTAATAACAATGTCATTTGTTTGAAAAAATTGTTGAAAATGTGTCCAAAAATATTTGAAAAACTATTGAAATGTACTAATTTCAGGAGAGTTTGTACTTTAGTTGCTATATTCTTATATAGAAAATCCATCCCTCTCTCAACAAATGTAAATCAATTTTAATTAAAAAATATTGTTTCATTTGTATGATTTCAAGAATTATTTTTTAATACTTTACATTATTTTATAACAATAAAATTTTCTTCAAGCTTGACATTGCTTAAAAAGTGAAAGTTAATTTATTATAAGCATATTTTTGTTTTATTAAAATATTGCAAATAAATTTGTCGTTTTTTTTCTATAGGAGCACTATTGCACACTGCACATTGCACAATTATTAAGTTTCACAATTGTGACCCATCCAACATTTTCATTTTCTATAGAGATTTTCAAGAATTCATTTTTCATTAAACCCTCCTCTACAAAATTCATTTCTGAATTCACCCCTGCAAAAGTGGGTATAATTTTCTGTATTAGAATGTATGTAATATTATTAATATTCTATTTATAAATGAAATTTGAAATATGATATTTGCCAATTCTCTGGAAAGCGAAACCAAAAAATCAGATTTTAAATTTGAAACTAATGTGGTTTAGTCACCATTTTTTGTAGAAAACACATGAAATGGTTGGGACACTAAACAAGTACAGATATTTTTTGTTCTCTATGGAAAAAATATTTGTAAAGATTGATTCCATAAGAGAATGAAAAAACAACCAATTACTGCAAAGTTGAACATTCATGAAAATGTATTTAATGATGCTAAATTATTAGTTGAAATATTATAAAAGCTCAAAGAATATTAGTTTTCTATTTCATATGTGACAATCTCAAAAGCTATATCATCCCTGTAACATTCAATCTTCTAACATACTCTAATGTCTAGAGAGCAGATTTTTTTTTATTACATATTTTTTGTCTTTCAAACCTACTGTTCTTAAAATTGTAATCTTGGCCAATTGTCGCTGTCTAAACACAATGTTCAAATTTTTAATTACATATGTTAACATATTTAGTACTATTTTACATATTTTGCTATTTTCACAATTTTTTTTTTAATCTATCAATTTTCTTCATCTTTATTATATATATTTTATGAAAAGAAGTATTTTTAAAAAAATCAGCATTTTCCCCTACATTATTACTGAGTGCTGTTGACTCGAGGTGCACTAAGTGAAGACATGCTTGGATATTCTCACAATCCTGCATGCCTCATTCGGTTATTTCAGTGGCTGGAATTTCCTGTTCGTTGTATTGCATGTCAATGAGCATTGAGATGGTCGGTGGGATAAAACATCTAGTTGACTAGTGAGAAATTGACAGCAACTGAGATCATTTTCTCTGTGTTTCATGACCTTTACCTTTCATTTCTTAGAAACTTGGGTGAGCGATGACTTATCACTTTGATGAGAATGTTGCCCTCTGCAGACGGTTTGCTGGTTGTAGATATTGCTAGTTTGTACAATAGCTTCTGTTGTGTCTTGTTGGACTGCTAAGCAGTGGTCTTGGATGGCAATAGATGACGACTTTTACTACTAATTGAGGAACTAAATGACTTTTGAAACATTAGCATTATTTAAGAAAAATTGTTAAGACATATTTTCTAAATTTAAATTCATATTATGAAAAGGTGTTTTATAGTTAGTCTTTTAATATTACATATTATATCTGATTTTACATTTTTATTACATATTATTACTGTTTTCATTACATATTTATGTACAAATATTGATGTTAAATATTACATATTTTTCCGGTCTCATCTAATGAGCCATGCATCACATAAAACATGGAGTTTTGAATATTCTGAAGAACTGAGTAAAGAGCTTATAGCAATGAACTACCAAACTGTAATAGACTTTTCAGGTCATGTACCAATCTTTATAAGATAAATAAATTACAGAACCAGTTTGTTTACTATTTATAGTATTATTTATTTTTATATCCTGTGCATCACAAATCAAAATATAGTATTTTATTTATTTGTTTTCAATTTAACAGTGATAAAAAATTAATGTAAATTGTATCACGTTTCAGATGCAGAACTATACAACAATAAAAACATTGGTGGTGCTTCTTACACTGTGGATCAATTCTTTGGCTGCCGAGAAGAATATAATTCTTCGAGCTTTGTCAGCAACTTCAAATGTCAACATTAGAAAGACACGAGATGTCAGTGGTCCCTCAATTCTAGTTACTTCTAAACCCTCTTGTCCTTCATTTATATCTTGTCCTTATCCACCATACCCTAGACCAACAACCAAACGTCCAACAGCCACAACAAAAGGTGTTGTGGATTATTTTGGATCAGAAAGCTATCCAATGGATGAATATTCCACAACTACTAGTGAAACTGAAAATAAATCTGAGCAGCCGGAAGGAGGAAGTGAACTAGGGAATATTCAGGGTCCTTCCATCTCAGCCACCACAAAACCACCATGTCCAGGATATATTACATGTCCGTACCCTCCATATCCTAGACCAACAACTAAGCCTCCACTAGTAGATAATGTAGCATCTTCTCTTAGTACTTCTTCAGAAAAATTGATTGTAGAGTACATTGACCCAGGAAAAGAAGATTCAGAAAAGTCTTCATCAGTCAGTGAATCACATTCTCATTCTGACGGGTCAGTTGCTGTAAATAAATCTGGGAATGCCCAAGGGCCTTCAATTTCAGCTACTTCTAAACCCCCATGCCCTTCATACATATCTTGCCCATATCCTGGGTATCCCAGGCCTACAACTAAATCTCCTCTAGAAGAGAGCGTTACAGAACTGTCTGCAACCACTGTTCCAGATAAAGAAATAGTGGACTACATAGGTCCAGAGAAAGAGGATACCTCAGAGAAGACTCCATCTGTCAGTGAAATAACTTTGAAACCTGAAGTAATAGATGGTGTAAATAAACCAGGAAATGCCCAAGGGCCTTCCATATCAGCAACTTCCAAGCCACCATGTCCCTCTTTTATAACCTGCCCATATCCCCCATATCCCAGGCCTACAACTAAACCTCCTCAAGAAGAGAGTGCAGCAAAACCTTCTACAACTACTGTTCCAGATAAAGAAATAGTGGACTACATAGGTCCAGAGAAAGAGGATATTCCAGAAAAGACCCCATCTGTCAGTGAAACAACTTCAAAACCTGAAGTGATAGACAACGTAAATAAGCCAGGAAATGCCCAAGGCCCTTCAATTTCAGCTACTTCTAAACCACCATGTCCTTCATACATATCTTGCCCATATCCTGGGTATCCCAGGCCTACAACTAAATCTCCTCAAGAAGAGAGTGTAACAAAAACGTCTGCAACCACTGTGCCAGATAAAGAAATAGTGGACTACATAGGTCCAGAAAAAGAGGATATCCCAGAGAAGTCTCCATCTGTCAGTAAAATAACTTTGAAACCTGAAGTAATAGATGGTGTAAATAAACCAGGAAATGCCCAAGGTCCTTCCATATCAGCAACTTCCAAGCCACCATGTCCCTCTTTTATAACCTGCCCATATCCTCCATACCCTAGGCCAACCACTAAAGCTCCTCAAGAAGAGGGTGCAACAAAACCTTCTTCAACTACTGTTCCAGATAAAGTAATAGTGGATTATGTTAGCCCAGATAAAGAAGACACATCAGATATGACTCCATCTGTAAGTGACACGAATCCTAAACCTGATACATCATACAGTTTAAATAGACCAGGAAATGCTCAAGGTCCTTCAATATCAGCTACTTCCAAACCACCATGTCCTTCATATATAACATGTCCGTATCCTTCATATCCTAGACCTACAACAAAAAGGCCTTTCTTTGATAAAATTGCAACATCTTTGCATCTAATTTCTTATGATAAAACAGCCATTGACAATGTTGAACCAGACAGCACTGCTTCACCAGAAGATCTTCAAAGTATTGGTGAAGCGAGTCCTCCAACAACTGCAACCGTTGATTCTGCAGATGGTGCTTCTGTTTCTTTTGAAAGTAATGCTATTGTTCCTGTTACTCTTAATGATGATTCTGAAAACAAGCAATCTAGTCCAGTAACTTCAGAAACTACGTCTCCTGAAAATATTTCATCTATTAAAAACATAGAAGTTGAGTCTATTGCATTGGGGACTGAGGTTAGTGAACAATCATTCATGACAGAGTCTCCTGGAAAATTGTATTTTCCAGGGCTGTCAAATAGTAATATCAATAATATTCCACCTTCCTCTGACAGTATATCAGAATCTCAGAATTCCAATTTACCAGAATACCAATCTGATGCTTTGTATATGAGTAGAGGACCAGCCATATCTGCAACTCAAAGACCCAGATGTTCATTTTATGCTCCATGTCCTTATGAGTATCCTAAGCCAACAACAGCATCTCCTTATCTACATAACAGAATTTCTTACACTAGTACATCACATTTGAATGGTGTGCTTTCACCAAGCAACAATCCACTTCTTCACACAAACCCATCTAATGTTGATCCATTCTTTGCAGGTACGGGATCACCTTCACCTCAAGACCCAGTTGTATTAGGGAATCAGGGTGCTTTCCTACCTATTTATTCCTATGTGTATGGAATAGACCCTTATGCACAAAATGCATATTATTATAACAGGAGACCTATTTTGCTAACTCAACAACCGTTCTGGCCTTCTTATGTGAAAAATCCATGGATCTATCCTAGACCTGTGGGTGGTGAATATGCTAATGATCAAGATACTGACGATAGCTATAGTGAATCAAGTGACAATACCTCATCAGATGTTGAGGAAGAGGACCAAAAAGGTGTTAATGAAAATTCAAAAGTAGTGTAACTCTTGTTGAGTTGTTTTTGTATGTTTTGTGTGTGACAAAGTGTGAATGTTAATTGTATTTAAAAATAGTAATATAGAAGTATTTATGTCAAATTGCAAGCTCTGTTTGTAAACATTTGTTATTTTTTGCTGGTAATAAATAAATTAAGACTGTGTTGTAACTTTATAATTCATTTGTTTAATTTCAAATATAAATATTTATATTCACAAATCATCAATAATGGTTAGTTCTTTTCAGTAGTTATATCTCTTTTTCAATTTCAAAAGGGAAAATGATGTTCCTAAGCTGGATTTATTCAAAAAACATATTTCAAAAGAGTTTTGCACAGAAACCAATAATAGCTGCTTTCTAAAAGGTACTAAAAGAAAAATTTTAATACATGCACACACACACACACACAAAAGAACATTGTAATTTGTATACTACTCTATATGGTATTAAATACCAACTTCCATTAATCAATTGAATTCATTATTAAATGAACACTTTTTATAAACTGGTGAAAAGTTAATCTCTCAACACTCTCTAAATAAGAAAACATAACCAACTCTAATGTAACAGAAATGTTTAATTCTATATTCTTATATGAAACTACACCCTCTGAAATTTTTAAAATCATTGAGCAAATAGAGAATATCTTTTGTCCAGATTTTCTTATCAAACAAAGGGCTCACTGGTATAGTCCAAACATTCTCTCATAGCAAATACTCTATGAGAACAAGCATCTTTCAGATATATTCAAAATACCAAAAATTAAACTATTGTTTGAAAAAGGGTAATAGTTATGATCCATTGAATTGCAGACGTACGGTCTCTATTTATCCTTGGAAATACTTTTCAACAATAGACTCAAACAGTTTCTCAATGCAAAGCATGTCCTAAAAAATGCCCAATATGGCTTCAGGAATAATAATTGCACAGATGCAGATTTTTAAATGATGTTCTTGTAGCACTAAATCAGAAGCAAATTCTCATTGGCCTTTTCTTAGATTTGTTAAAAGCCTTTGACATCATTGACAATCGCATACTACACAAGATCTTTTTGAATATCAGAAAAGGTTATGAGGGTGCTATCATACGATCCTTCTCAGGTAATAATACTGTAAATAGCTGTAGACCAAAATAACACTTGTACATAACTAGGCGGCGGTTAAGAGGCCAATTAATCTTCGAACTTTTTATTAAAGTTCACTTTATTGTTTTTGTGCAACTCATTGTAACTAGTACTCTGTTGCTCGTGATTTCAATAAAAAAGGTCTATGACACAAGTTTGTCTTGTCTCAAAATGGGTCAATGGGACAAATGAGACAAGGGAACAGATGGGACAAGGGGACAAATAAGACAAGAGGAAAAAATTGGAAAATTAAAATTGGGACAAGGGGATAACATGGGAACAGTGCATGAAATGAAAAAGTTCAAAATTTTCACAAAGTTCGGAATTAATAATTGACATATAAGATAGTAAGGAAGAAGGTGAAATACAAGAAATTAACTGTCCTAACAGATTTACCTCTGTTACATTCAATTTTTTACACTCATATTTGATTATTAGACATTGTAGTTTAATTTAATCAATTTTCATACCTAAGGTCACTCTTCATTTGTTTGAATTGCCTCTCTTATAAGTTTTGTGTGTTTCACACACTTCTTTTTGTAATCAATATTTTTTTACTGCTGTGGTCTCAGGGACTGGAAAGAGAAAAATATAAAAGAATAGTCGCTTTCTCTCATGTCTTCACTCAGTCGTTGATTATGACTCTCGTTATTGTCATCATGATCATGATCATTATCCTCATCCTCATTATCTCCATCAGCTGTTTCTGGTTCAATTTATTTAATACAGCACATTTTATGCCATTTTAAACAATATTTATTATTTCTATTGTATCTACAATGCGTATATTTTATTGTATGAATAAATTGAATAAAAGTAGTGAATAGCCTATCTTATTCATTTCTTCATGCCCCAGGCTTGAAAGAAATTATTTTATTTTTTAAATGATTTTAAGCTTTTCTTATTGTGTTAAATCAGTTTTATTTGTAATTTCTTTAATTATTTTAGTCATTAATGACTTAAGTAAATAATTATTTTTTTAAACAAAAAATTAATTCATTAGTTGGAAGACCTATCGGGATAATGCAAATTACAGTTAAATTCTGGTTTGATACAGTTGACTGTTATTCCAGGGTATATTATGTTCTTATCAATATTATCCTATATTTAAATTAATTTTAAAAAGCTTTGCAATGTTCACTTGGGAATTAAAATTTTGAATTTTGAAAAATGTTCACATTTTTGTGGCATATATTTAGGTTGATACTTCATATAATAGTTTTATTGGATACTAATATTAAATTGTTCCTGATTTTGTAGTTTTTTCGAATTATCTAGAAAAAAAATCTTGAATCTACCAATAGTATCTGAAGAGGGAAAACACGGTTTTACGAAACATCAAATATATTTAAAATGGAAAGAACTTCAAACTTAGTTATACTGTAATTGAATTACTCTGATAGGTGTTCCAACTATTCATAACATATCAGGGAAATTCAGGAACTTATAAAATAATAATATGTTATGTGTTAAATACATAATTTGTTGCGAATTGATCACTTACAAAGATGTATTCCCTGAGCTCCAAACAAAAAAGTGAGAGGATGAGAAAAAAGTAATTGTGTATCAATCCCATTGTGCAATTCATTCCATCTCTTTGAAAATTGCGCATCGGGTTGAAGTTCCTTGGGTTCAGAAGTTGGCAATACTGACAGATAGCTATCAATGCCACCGTACTGGAGATTTAGTGCAGCCTGTTAGCCTGCCCCAAAAGAACTTAATATAATATCTGTTTTTAAGAGCAATGTTATTAGGGTTAGATTTTCCTTTTCTTGTACAGATTATTTTTTATGTTACAAAGTCCTTCAGTTATCTACTTTTTCCTGGGTTTATTTGTACATCTAAAAGTAATTGTCTGTTTTGAGTTTGATATAGCGCTATCTATCACAGTTATAAAATTTTGAGTCAGAGATTTATATTAATTTCATCATAACTATTATTCCAGTCAATTTTCCGAACTATTTATTAATTTTTTGGAATTTAATTTACAGTTAATAAAAGGAGTTATTACTATATCTTCAACTTCTTCAATAGATTAATATTAAGTAAAGTAGCATAATGATCAGTTAAATCAATATTACATACTATATATATGATATCTAAATTGCTTGCAACTTTAACAAAAAAGTGGTCAATTTAAGTTGCAGAACTTGTATTAGTCATCCCATTTGCTACGGATGTTACACTATAACAAATTATTTTTTAATCTGTCAAAGAGAGTTTAAGGTATTTTCTTTAAAAATATGTATTGGAATTAATAAAGAAATGACTTCATTTCTGTACATTTTCTTATTTTTCTTAAATTAATGTGAAAAGAAATATTAAAGAATAGTGGTGTTACGAATGTTACAAAATTTTGGGAAGTCTTGAAAAGGCTGTTAAATTATTTAGCATAATTATTAGCAAATAATATTTATCATAATAAATAAATGTTCTTTTCTTCATCAAGTACAACAAAATTGCTTTGATTTTTTTCAATATGTTTCAAGGAATTTGTGTTTACAAATTATTTAGCAGATAATAATGAAATTAATTAATTTTTTTTATTGTTGCAGATGTTACAACCTATTTTCTTATGGATGTTACACAGGACAACTCAAAACATTTCACATTAATGTCTTGTAATAACATTAAATTACATTAAATGATAACTACCAGTTTTTAAAAATGTATTTATTCTCTATCTTTTTTTTTTGATTTTCTTTCTTCACTGATGAAATGCTCATCTAAACCCTTTTTGGGCTTTGAGTGTCTGGAGTAATATTCTGTTAAGTATCTGTCAATTCTTGGCATGTTTAAATCAGTCAGTGCCTTTTACCTCTTTGGCCAGGGGCATTTTGTTTTCATAGGAAATACAACTTGTAGTTTTGTGCATTTTAAATGTAAAGCTTGTAAAAATATGTTTCTCGTAAAATATCTCAAAATGATGAATGTTCCTTATTCCAAGTATTTCTTTAACTGTTTCCAATCTCTTTTTTTGAAGAGAACTTGTACTTTCAATGTCACATTTTGGTACAAACAGATCTCTAGTTTTCTTTTCTATGCAACTGGTACACAAACAGCCATCCATAGTTTATGTAACACAAATTTGATATATTTTGAATACCCCCTCTCCCTCTAATGCACTTGTAATGCGAGTTTGAACCCCCTAAATAATTACAAAATGTTTGAGACCAAAATGCCTCCCCATCCTCCATTTAAAAGAAAAAATAAATTATATCACAGTAAAAACAATTTGTATTAATTTGATTTGTGTTATATTTTAAAATTTATGATAATTAAAGTCAGATTTAATTGGCAATACTGACTACTCTGAACAATAAGATTGAGAACAAGAATTGTGTGAAGGAAGGACATGAGATACGAACATTTCTGACAAGCCTTGCACACATTGTCGTAGATGACAATCAGCGAGAGTCTACTGCACCAATTTAATTGGATTCTAGATATGAGAGATCAGTTTTGAATATTTTCTTCATATTTTACAGATTCAGAAACAAAATGATGAAAAAATATTGCCATTTATTTTAACAATTTACACTTAAGAACTTTAATTTATATATATTATTTTAAAAGTAATTAGTTAATATATTAATGTTTTACAATGTTGTAAAATTTAATGTTGTAGTATAAGACAAAAAAATTTCAACAAATGAAAAAGAAAAGATCACTGTTATTTAATGCTAAACTAACAACTCCCCACCCTCAAGGCAGCTTCATTTCTATTCCAGAACTGAAAACAATTTAAAAAATATGTGGAATGGATATGGATTTTTGATGCGAGTGGGATGGATGAGGTTTTGGCAAAGTTCGAATGAAGATAAGGTTTGGATTTCCCAGTCGCGTCCTGACTGCTGTGGTGGTCAGACGCACCGGGCAAAATCATGTTGTGCGTGCGTCCACTGACACGGTGCTTGTCAGTCAGTCACATGCTAGTCACATGTAAAACGTGGTAGAAGTGTAGTTATTCTTAAGTGAAGCGATATTGCTTAACTAAGTGAAAAGTTTCTTTTCTTTTTCGTGAACATCATGGAGCCCTCTCAAGTTCATCAATCTTCAGCAAACCAAAGTTACTATGAAAATCTCCCTT